CACGTTTCCTAGTCTGAAAAAAAAAATCAATTCAACTAGAAAAAGAAGACAGCATATAACTACTGATAAAAGTAACTTAAAATCCACAGGACCTCAAAAGGTATGGAAACATTAGGATCATTAAACTTTCTGTAAATAATGTACAAAGAACTTTCAGATTGTGAAAATACGCACTTATTTAGATGGGTTCAATTTCAGACATCTTTGCAGAAGTTACTATATACCTGGAAGTCAGGAAAGGAGTGAAATGGAGACAGAGTTTAGGATCAATGAATGTGAAGTTGAACTCAGAGATTTGAGTTATATCAGTGTAAGGAAGTAGTATGTTATGATTTGGAAGTGAGGTGTCTCCCAAAAGCTCATGTGTGAGACAATGCAAGAAGATGTAGAAGAAAAGTGATCAGATTATTATGAGAATCTTAACTCAATTAGTGAATTAATTCCCTAAAGGGATTAACTGAGTGCTAACTGAAGGTGGGCAGAGTGTGTGGTTGGAGGAGGCGGGTCATTRGAGTGCCTTTTGGAGTACATGTTTTGTATCTGACCAGTGGGATCTCTCCCTCTGCTTTCTGATCATTACATGAGTCACTTCGTTCTTCCACACTCTTCTGCCATGATGTTCTGACTCATTTTGAGTCCCAAGGAATGGAGCTGGTCTTCTATACACTGAGACCTCTGAAACTGTGAGCCCCTAAATAAACTTTTCCTCCTCTACAATTTTTGTGGTCTGGTCTTTTAGTCATCACGGGGTGGGGGGGGGAATAAAAATTTGAGTAAAACAATGTGAAAAAGGAGAAGGGGGAAGGAGTCCTGAGAAGGGCCTCTATAGGGAACATACACATGGATGAAGACATGCCATAAAGCAGATGAGGATGTAAGATAAATGAAAGGAAATAAGAAACAGGGAGGGTTTATAAAAAGAGAGGCTGTTTAATCAAGAGTGGTAGAAAGATTCTGTAAAAATGGATAGAAAAGTATGTTTCCTTTATTTGCCCCAGCTAGTGACAGCTGTCTTGGCCCTAATCTGTCAGCTTCCTGGTGTCCTTATTTGCATATTACTTTTAAATGGACTCTCTGGAAGATGCTAGATTTCTTAAGAATCTCAAATTCAAGTAGTCTCCATCATGCAAGTTAGCCATTGTRTGTGAAAAATCATGAAAACTAAATCAATCACTTTCATATATTGCTTCCTTTGATGTTTTCATTGGCTGCAATTCTGCTTAATTCACTCTTTATTTCCTAAAAATTTAGATCATTTTCTACCCATGTATAAAAACATGCATGTTTCTATGCATGTAAAAAAATAAAACAGTTGAGCCCGTATACGGTGGTGCATACTTATAATCCCAGCAGCTCAGGAGACTGAGGAAGGGGGATTGCAAGTTCAAAGTCAGCCTCAGCAACTAAAGGAGACCCCGATCAACACAGTGAGACCGTGACTCAAAATTTAAAAAAAAAAAAAATGAAAAGGGTTGGAGATGTTGCTCAGTGGTTCAGCACCGATCAGTCCAATCCCTGGTACCAAAACAAAACAAAACAATACACAGTTGATACCATACACTTCCAAATGGAATAGAAATTTAAAATTATGTACTGATGGATGATGCTCCATGTGTGCACTCCACAATGCCCTCCACACGCTCACAATAACCTCCAGAGCAGTTATGGATGGTGTTCGGAAACTATTTCAGTAGTGGCCTGATTAAGTCAGCTCTAAAAATAGAGATGATCTCTCTGTCCTGCTCAAACCTTGATTTTCAACTCCATAAATCTTTCTGTTACATTCTGAGTCCTAGATTCATTCTAAGTGAATAAYAAAATGTTAAGGAATAGATATTGATAATATCATTTATATAGCATGTAAGACCCTTCATTTTCCAGTGGCTATTTTTCGAGGACTGTGTCTTTTCTAGTGCAGACAYATAGCTTCAGCTCTCCTGGCTGATGCTATCTCATGCCCTTATATTTTTGCATGCTTTGTTTCTTCTGCTTAAAATGCTCTTATTCCATTAATGTTTAATAACATATGCTAAAAAAATTATATATGTTTTTCATTTTCACACATAATCTCATTCAATTCTAAGCATAGCRCTGAGGTTCAGGCATCACTTGCCCATTCTCTACATTACAAATGGAACTTTTGAGAGAGAAAGTTTACCAAGATCCTACRGAAAGTGATAGCATAAGGAGGTGAACACAGGCAGTCTGACCCAAAGTCCATCATCTTTCTTTTTTTAAACTTATCTTTATTTTTTACATACATGACAGTGGAATRCATTMCAATTTTTATTACACATATAGAACACAATTTTCATATCTCTGTTAGTATATAAAGTAGGTCCATCATCTTAACCTACACACTCCACTTCCTTTTCTCCATCAAGTCTTAAGAAGGTTTACTTTATGTCTGATGTTCTGCACCCCATTTTCAGGTACCTTATGTACTAAGTGATAATGTCTACTTATCACTCTACAGTACAATGGCTGATTTACCATTTTGTCTAAAATCATGTACAGTTCACCTCTTAAGAATTGGGGTCATGGCATTTAGCTCTACATCCTTGTGAGGTGATTGGCAGTATTGTTTTGTTTGTTTGTTTGTTGTTATTGTTGTAAATATAGAAACTAAAATTTAAAAATATGAGAGAAATGCCCAAGATTACCTAGCTGGGTAAGACTGAGACAGGACCTTGAACCCAAGGCTTCTAACTCTCAACTTCTGGTTTCTCTCCCTTCTATGTTATCTTTTAATATAAGAACACAATGAAGTCATGATAAAGTAAGAAACTCCCTGAAAAAATTCACGTAAATAATACATATCAATGTAGTCTACCCAAGGCATTAAAATGATGAAAGGGGATAGTATAAAGACTAAGCCAAAGAAAAGTAAATTTAATAATTCCATTTTTTATTTAAGAGAGAGAGAGAATTTTTTAATATTTATTTTTTAGTTTTCGGCAGACACAGCATCTTTGTATGTGGTGCTGAGGATCGAACCCGAGCCACACGCATGCCAGGCGAGCACACTACCACTGGAGCCACATCCCCAGCCCAACAATTCCATTTTTCAAAGGCAATATGGTTACATTATCCATACTTATGCCATATTGATAATTAGTTAGTATTAACTAACTAATTATTAGCATAAGTACTAATAATTAGGCCTAAAGTAAGAAGGGAAAAGTAACAGCTGAACATATATGTCCAAGTAAATGGATATTTTATTTCATGGATTGCTAATTTAAAAAATATATTTTAAATACTGAGTCTTTAATCTGAAAATAGGTAATCTCAGTAAATCATCTAATTGGTGATAGCTTACCACTTTGCATGCAAGTCCTTGTTCTAAGTAGATCAACATTAATTTTAAGTCATGAATAAAAATACATGCGATATGTTTGTGTGTATATATACAYATATATCATAAACATTATGAGCAATGTTTGCTAAATATGAACAATGAATTTATGCTTTATTAGTCTATTAAAATTAAAAACTTTTATCCATGCATAATTATATACAAAGCCTGTTTTATGTCATCAGTGCACATGAGAAATTAGAATAGCTGAAACTTACTATGATTCAAAAGTTACACAGTCCAGATTTTCAGTTTAACTTACAGAAAGCAATCTTCTTAAATGGATTAAACCCAAGTTATTGTTGTTGTTTTCATATTTTCACAATACAAAATCTTTTCTTTTTTGTTAATAATGTATAACTTTTGGTCAGCTTTATCTCTTTGCTATCTGTAGCTCTTTGAATAGGAAAGAGGTTGTTAYTTAACTTGTTTTGTGTACCCTAAATATTGTGACATTGAGATAGATTCATTTAACCATGTTTGAATATAACTCTCATACATACTGATGAGTTTTCACCAAATAAAATAGAATCACAGATTAATTAGAAATAAATACTTTGTAATCAGAAACATAATATTTTTAATCTGACACCCTACTGTTGATTTGGACATCCTATGGTCTCCCTAAATGTTACCTTTCACTCTTCACATACCTAACCCAGGCTCAAATGCCATAATCAATTTTAGAATTGATATCTTGTTACTAACTACATTAACAATTTCAAATGTGCAACACATATTTTAAAACCTCTGTACTGAAAATTCTTCAATAAATTCACATTTCTTCATATTCTCATTAGAAACATTTCTTATACCAGTGAATGTTCACTGAGACATCTGAACTAGATGTCTAAACATTTTTTCCCAGTGAAATGATTTTGTTATGAACATTGTCTCTAACTTTCAGGTCTGACTTGATTTTAAAAATCATTCATTTCCTTTTCTTTCTTGCTAATACCACAGATTTCTGCATAAAGGACATAAAAAAGTACACAAAAATGTCACCTTCCAGTCTTTATTTCTGTGAGAACTTGTAGATAATAGGAATTGAGGATTTGATGGCTTGCAGTACTTATGAGTCTTTGAAATTTCCAGAATTATGAGATTCTGATACAACAAATAAATTTAAAAGTATAAATCTTTACTTTTATTGCTATTCTGATGCTAATTTTAATCTCCAAGATGATTTTTAGATGGGTTAAAAAAAAAAAAAAGAGGATGCCTTAGTAGAAGTAAAGAGATATGTGTGATGCTCTCTTGGAGGTAGGCTAAAATAAGGCCATGAGCTCACTGGATTCAGTTTCAGGAGATCTGGAGCTCTCTGTCATTTCTATTCCAGTGAAGTGAGCAGTATCCTGTAAGGAACACTGAACCACTTAAGAAAGTTATAAGGCATGTGATCTATTAATCTCTGAGGCTCTTTTTGAGTTTCCATTCTTTTATATTAAAATGCAGTATTTCCTAGAAAACTAAAAGATAGGCCTAAAATAGACATATATAATTGCTATTAACAAAAAGAGATTTCACAGTGCAAAGACATAATAAAGGTAGTAGATAGAAAAGAGGGARAGGAAGACAGAGGGAGGGGGAAACCTTTTATAGGATTCATCTCACTCTGCACATTTAGTTCAGAAGACATTACCTGAAATGATACCACAGTAATGACTGTGAAGAGCTGACTTCTCTGTGGCTTTTTCTTCCACGGACCTTTTCTGCCTATAGACACGGTGTGGATGACCCGTTATGGCCATTGTATCATTGAGTGGCTCAATAAATATGAAGTCCTCATTGAGCTGTATAAATCCCATCTGGAATATACAACACAAAAAGATAGGTCAGAAACCCCATTTAAAAATTACTTTCTAAGTTCTTCTATTCACATGTTCTGTTTTCTTTAACAAATATGCATGTGATCTTCTAGAGAATCTATTTCAGTGACCCCACTAGAGAGGTAACTATCTTCACATTTTATTACTTCATCTTTGTGTGCTTTATTGCACTACCATAAACTTCATTTAGTAGTCTTAGCCTGTGTGGGTGGGAGGCTAGATGCCAGCAACAGATGCACAGTAAAAATTCTGGAATGTTAAAGGCTCACTTTGGGAGACCCATGGGGTCACTTACATGTACAACATGTACAAAAAGAGGGATGCAGTTTTTAATTGCATACACCACAGAGTCCAACTTTTTGACAATCAGTACTTAGTGAAGTAATTCATGTAACATCAAGGCAAATGCAAGATTCATAATATTGAAAGTAATTTGTAAAATATTCTTAAAGTTTTGTACTAAGCATTTTTTTAAAAATTACAAAATAAATCAAGCAAAACTTACATAAACAAGTTTAATTTCATAATGGTCTTAGCCACCCAACTRTGGAAAGTTAAAAACTGTAAACTATGATTATCATCAATGAAAAGGTCTTACAAGTAGGTATCCTTGTAATATGAAGCTAAGCCTGCTCATTTATATCTTTCCTTCTTTTGGAATATAAATTGATTTATAACTAGGAAAGTTTTCCACAGAGACAGACAYAATGTGAATTAATCTTCTTGTTATTTTTTAACTCTACATAATCAACATAAAAATAGAATACCCTTAACATTGTTACCTTTAGCAAATTCTAAATTATTGTTCTAATGTTTAAAAACACTTGTTATGTCTAGTGTTGACATTTTGAAGGCTTGAAATGTTCTATTTTTATCATAAAAATTGATATTTTCATAAAAGATATTCTAAAATGCTAAGAAATAATCACTTAAAACCTGCATTATTCATACTCAATCTGGTAATATAATATATAGTTCTTAATTATTTCACATCTACCATCTGGAATTTAAGTATAGCTCATTTTAATTTGATCAACATATAAGTAACACATTAATTAAATAATTATTTATTCAGATARAACAATTTTCCAAAGTAAAATTTAAGAAAAAATAAATTCACCCTGAAAAATACGTACTTTTTCCTTAGGTGTCTGGTTTGTTCTTCTCCTAGCAGTTAGCAYAGGGTCCACCATATATAAAGTATTCAACAAATGTTTGTTAAATAAAAGAATGATCGAAATTTATCTCCTTTTTTTCATTTTTCCACTACTGTATTCAAATTTAAATTTTGTTTTTATTACTAGAGTGTGTTAGCAAAGATGTAATACACTAATGTTATTAGAGTGCATTACATCTCCTGTACAAAAAGACCAGCTGATTGCCAATGTGTTACATAATCATTTTATTTTGTACTGAACTAATATTACAATACACTTTTAGAAAAAAAAAATCTAAAGTCCTAATCAATTTCATCTTATTGAATTTTTCCTATCACTAATAAAATTCTTAAGAACTGAAATACATAATTCTATCACTTGTTTTTCTCCTTTTTCCTTCCTATCTCCCTTTCCCTGTCTCTCTTTCTAACACACACACACACACACACACACACACACACACACATATTCACACATATTTGGCATTAAGGGATGATGTAAAAAAGATTCACTCTAATGACTCTTTAAAAAATATGAGGCATATATATGTATATATATATGTGTGTATATATATATTTATATGTCAAATATTTTTATGTAATTTTAATGACTTCCACTGAGTTGTTTTATTTTTTTTATTCTTGTTTTAATTCTCTAAAATTTGAAACAATCTTGAATTTTAAAGTAATTACATGAAATCTAGAAATTTTTCTATGGTTAATTAGATTAAACATGAGAATATAAAACATTAAAAGTACTGAGTGACCATGAAAAATGTAGTACATCTACACATAACTTGAGAAAAGATGGTGTCACATTATATATCTTTGAGCCAGTCTATAAAAATATAGATATGTGTTAGTTTTGTCTTATACATTAATGTAATTCAAGGCCATTAATAAAACTGTAGCTGATGATTAAATCATAATGTGTGGTTAGGATATCTCAAGCAAACATGCTGAGTTTTACCTAAATCATAAATTTGTGATCCAACACATTCTTTCATCAGGTTATAAAAATGGTTACATTTGTAATAAATGTTACAAAACATAACTTCATACTATCATATACAATTTAAGGAGTTCAAGAACAGATTCTGGTTTTAAGATTATTTGCTAGCAACATAACAAAGACAAAGTTACAGCAACTTTATCTACACTACTTCCTAGGGCCATTCAGATACATGTAATGCTTTTAGCATGTAGTCTGATGCTAGATAACTATTCAATAAATATTCACTGTTATTTTTATTTTAATAATAAGGATAACATAATGTAAATATATTTAATTATAAGGATACTAGTAAATATAAGCACCTAAACATTTGAATATAAACTACAAAGTTCACAGAGTTCAAAGAATCAGTTTATTCATGTTTGTATTCCCCCATTAGCACATTAATGTCCAAAATAAATGTTTTATTTTATTATGTTTTGTTTTGAGACAGAAACTTCTTCATAATGTAACACATCTATTTTGTTAGAATTTTTTCTGTCAGCAATTTTGAAAACAAGAAAGCCATTTTTAAAAAGGAAGAAGTTAGAGTAATTATAAAGGTGACTCGTTCATTCAATACATGCCTACTGTCTACTCACTGTGTGCCAGACTTGGTTCACTCAAAGGCATAGTTAGCCCCAAATGTCACAATGTATATTTTCTGAGACCACAATGCTATCTTGTAGCACAAATATTGTCCAGCTTTGATTCTGTACCATTCAATGTATGGGCCTAGATTAAAATAGAACTGCAAAAAATCTTGAGGTTTTCTGTGCCTCTCACAAAGGAACTATTTTGTTTTTCTGTTAACAAAATAGAATTTTTTTTATCTGCACTGTAATTTTACAAGCCTTGGAAGAAAACAAGCACATATTAAACTCTCTACACAAGAGTCCTCATTTCCAACAATCCACAATTAGGCAGCATTTATTTTAGTTGCAAACATTGTCTTCTCAATTTTAGAAGAAAAGATTATGTGAATTAATATGGTATAACAACATATTATTTGCAAAAAAGTTAAAGTGTTTTTTCTCCTTGAGCGTCTTTTAAAAAATTTTCCAGATAATTTTCACTATTTTAAAACTTTTCATAAAAATAACTGGAAATACAATTTAATTAAAGTGCTGTTAACTCCTTTATTTAGATCATCACAAGCATGTGCTTAAATGGTGGGATTCCTTTGTCATTTATTCTTTGATTTTATGATGTAATAAGAATTTCAGGGCTGGGGATGTGGCTCAAGCCGTAGCGCACTCGCCTGGCATGCGTGCGACCCGGGTTCGATCCTCAGCACCACATACAAACAAAGATGTTGTGCCCACCGAAAACTAAACAATAAATATTAAAAATTCTCTCTCTCTCTCTCTCTCTCTCTCTCTCTCTCTCTCTCTCTCTTATCTTTTTTTAAAAAAAGAATTTCAATTTCAACTTGCAATTTATCATTGCTTATGTGAAAGGAAATAAGCCATCGGTCATTTTTTTTTTCTTACTAGCTTTTATATTTTATTTTACTCCTATTTTATATGCCTCTGATTTCTACAACCATGAATATAAATTTCCTTGTAGGTGTATTGACACTACCAACTCATAATCACAATGTGAAATTTGATTGGGCTAATGTGCAGAGATGATTAAACACTGTTGCTTCAATTCATCAAATATGAAACTTCATTTGTTCAAATGCGAATTGATTTTGGGCTGTGAAAGTAATGAACAGATGTTAGAGTCCCAGTGCAGGTCTATCTGAAGCAGTAGGTGGAACAGGAAGTCATATGGCAATATGGCACTCCTTGCTCTTGTTCCCACTCCTGCTGTGATGACTAATTCACTTCCAGTGCCTCACTTTCAGCTCACTCCAAAAGCCAAAATGCTACCATAATAATTATAAGTTTTTCTCTTAATTCTAATCTCTCTTCTTTCAACTTTCTTTATTTTCCAGAATCTTCATTTCTAGGTAAAATTTCAGTGTACTAGCTGAATGTATTTTAGACTCAAAAGAATGAAAATTATAGTCCATTAAGTAATGAATATTATGAGTCTATGAWAACTTGTTTTTTAAAAATATGATGCAGCAGTTCCATTGCTGAAGATWTATYCAAAGGAAATGAAATCAGCATGTATTGCTTAACAKAGCCAAGATATGGAATCAACTTAATTTTCCATCAGTGGATGAATGAATGAAGAMAATTTGTTATATATATGCAATGGAATACTACCTCGCTTTAAGAAACAAAGAAATCCTGTCATTCGTGACAACACTGATGGAGAATATAATGCTAAGTGGAATAAGCCAGGTACAGAAGTCCAAAATCGCATGATTTCACTTTCCCATGGTATCTAAAGGCATTGAACTCCTGGAAGCAAAGAGAAGAATGGTGGTTACTAGAATGAAGGTGAGGAGGGTTTGGGAAAATGTTGGTCGAAGGATACAAAATTTCAGATAGTCAAGAGACTAAGTTCAGAGACTGATTGTTCTACATGGTGAATGCAATAAATACCAATCAACTGTTTACTGAAAAATTGTGGCAATAGTTTTAAATGTTCTCATTATTAAAAAATTATGTGAGACAACAGATATACCTATTAGCCTAATTTAAACTTTCCATGACACATATATATATACACATATATGTATATGTATATATATATAAAATGTAGTACACCATTAATATGTACCATTTTTAAATATTAAAATAATTCACTTTAAAATATAGTATGTCACAAGAAGTGAATGGCATAAGCACTAAAGGAAATGAGGAAGGTGATAAATCATAATAATGCCAGGATATGAAAAAGGTCTAGGGGATAACAGGATTTGGATGAGAT